AAGTTCTGTCCTTGACCCTGAACTAAATTGTCACTGAGAACACTGCAGCTTAGACAGTAATGTGAAAAGAAAAACATACTCTCTTTGAAACATGAAAAATGTATGAAATTTGGGGATTTTTATTTTGGGGAACCATATTAATTGCACTGGCCTGCATACAATTAGACAGCCTCTATAGAGGATGTACGAACATCATCTGATGATTATTTAGTGCTGACAGAGAGCAAAGAATGAATCAAGGGTTTGGTTTACTTCGGAGCTCTCCTCCAAACTCCTGAACCTATTATGAAAAGCTGACATTGTTATTGTTTGTTTGTGTCAGTTAATGCCTCTTTCACATACACCACCATTATAACAGTCCAGGTTTTGATTCAATGCTTTTTGGAGAGCCGATATAATGTGTAAACATAACATTTTAATCACATTTTCATTCACTAAAACGTTTCGTTTACCTGATAACGTGTCAGCTGTACATTCAATCATAAAAGCTTCAAAATCAAAAGTTGAACTCAAACCATGCTGCCCTGTATGAGGGGTCCTCAATGAAGCCAAGGTTTTTAAAGAGCTTGTAGGAGACCATGTTGTCCTCCTTTATGAAGCAGTACACTGGGTAGCCCTCGGTGTGGAGTCTCCTGGCCATGGTGCTGACCAGGACTTTGGCGTAACCTCTCCCTCTGTGCTCTGGCAGAGTGTACAATATGCCCAACGCACAGTAATCGTACACCAGAACCCAGGACACGGGCTGACCCTGGCCGTCAGTGATGCAGCATGAAGGGAAGTTGCTGATGAGGTTTTTAATGTTTATGTAACCCAGCTTGTTCCCTCCGAACTTCGAGGTTTTATTCACCAATTCAACGTGGGAGAGGTTAAGAGATGAAATCCTTGATTCAAGCTCACTGTGTAGAGAATCAGATAATGACAACCAATGAAACAGTAATATTTTACTATTCACTGATGTTGATATAAGCTAAATATGCACATATATTCATAAAAGTACATTTTAATGATCTGACTACCTGTCAGCTGCTGGTGTGGGCAGATGACTGCTGTCTGGCAAATACAGAAGATGCACCAAAGCATAGACTTTGTTGTTGACTTCTCTGTCAGAAGACACTTCTTTGAGCATGGTCTCATGGGAAACATCAAATCCTGGAGGACAAAAATGATTTACATGCTTATTGCCATTCAGTTATTCTTCTAAGAGGTTACAACAGTCGTGAAGGAAATATTCACCTCCTTTACTCATAAATAGAAATACCACAATGTCAAAATACTCCATTGCAATTTAAAGTCCTGCATTATCTAAATGTAGTACTCAATGCAGAAATGTTACATGGATACTCAACAGTGATGCATTAATGTGTCATAGTAATAATGCATATTTTATAAGCTTGCCAAACTGTTTCCGGCGTAAAATTGTATTTGTGAAGTAACCAGGCCTACAGCTGTCAAAAAATATACATGTAAGTAAATGTAGTGGCCATTTGTCGGCTAAATCAAACTTAAACAAATAATAATCAAACGCCACTGATGCACCGTGGTCGGTATTTTTACGCAGCCAGAAGAGAGTGAAATGTCCAAGCAGGATTCCGTTTTTTGTATTTATCAAATAAAGCAAACAAAACAAACAAACAAACTAACTTAAAGAACAAAGAAAACTCCTGTCGTGCTGTCTCTCCTGTCATGTGCTATGCTGCTGGTAAAAACTATACGCCCACCCCGGTGCATGCTGGTCCCATCTGTCTACTCCTATATATATAGCAACAGGTGCCCACAGTAATGACCCAAAAAACAATATAACTAAACAAATTACTATTAAAGAAAAAAATAATCTTAATATATCAAACATCTACAATAATTAAACAATACGACTTATAAATGAAATAACAAAATACATTATCAAATAAATAGCTCCAACAGTAAAGAAAAGGTACTATCTAATTGTAATGGAATTGAAGTATAAAGTGGCAATGAAATGTCAGTACTCAAACAAAGTACCATTATCTAAAACTGAAACCAAGTACTTGAGTAAATGTACTTAACGGTAACTTAGTTACACTACACCACTGAGTTACACTGCCACAAGTAACCTGTGGCCCGTCCAATGATAAACACTGTCTGCAGTGACCTTAACTCACCACCAATTAAAAAATACGTGCTCCAGTCAATTGCATTCTCTTCTGTCAGCATTTTCCTTAAAATCTGGTCATCCATGCTGAAGTAGGTCACCTTTTTCATGAACTCCAGGGTGAGCTTGTTCTGTGAAATAAACGACAGGTTCAGCAATCAAGTGGCCTCCAGAAACACGACGTATGTACAATGTTTCCAATGGTATGTGACCTCACCTTGGGGTCAGGTCGACAAATGATAACCTTAAAATCAGGCCACGTATCAACGATGACCTCCAGTGTGCTTGGTTTCTTCCTGTTAATCCCAAATATGAAGCCGTACACCTGCACGCACGAAACGTTTAGAGCGACAACGTCAAGACACTGCGATTACATGACGTAATGAGGAACGTGTTTGCAGCCGTGTACCTTAAAGCTCTTGGGGAAGTGTTTTAGCAGAACTCCTTCAGCGATCTGTAGTTCGTCTTTGTTTAAGATCTTCATGTTTGGGGAGTGGAGCTTCTTCACTGATGCAGTTTAATCTGGCCGTCTGTTTAAACTGCTCTGTTCAAACATAAATGTTCCCAGCCTTTATAAATCATTGACAGTCTACTTTTTCTGCCTTTTCTTCTTTTTCTTCTTCTTTTTCTTCTTCTCTCAGTTTCTTGGCGGACTGCAAACCAACGTGTAAGGTGCATGCCGCCACCTACTGTACCGGAGTGTGTAACATCTTGCCTTTATGACAGTCATCATTTAAACACAATAATAATGTTATTTATCAATAAAATAAAAAACAAACAAACAAAACTTTATATGGAAGTTATATTCTGGAAAATAAACCCGTTCCATTCAATAAATTAAATAAAGCCCTTTTAATTTATCTTTCAATATACCTAAGGGTGAACTCTTGTTCTTTTTCGTTGTTTGTACGCATTTCGGACAGCAATAGCAAACTATTATTTGAAACGTGAGGTTTTTAAATGCAGACTTTATTCCACATTCACCCGGTCAAAGTCAATCAAATAAAGTATGTACTAGAACACCTTTTGATTCATTCAGTTTGATTTGAAGTGCTCTTACTGAGAAGTGTGGGGGATGTTCTGTAGAAGACATTAGCTGCTGAGTAATGCGTCCCCTTTTTATTTCAGTTTAGTCTATATGTTGTTAATAAATGTATGAACATATCTGCTGAAATTCCTCAGACCAGGTGTTAAATGTATAAATCCTCACTGTTCCCTCAAAACAGCCTGAAATATCAGCTGGCAACATTGTTTGATACTAAAGTGTATGTAAAGAAACTTAATTGGTGGATGCATTATGTGGCAATAGTGATATTTGACCCCCCAGCATTTGTATCTCCTCCATCCTCAGACCAGGTCAGTGATGGATGTATGAAAGCCCAACAGACCAATATATGTGCTGTAAAACCATTCGACTCCAAGATCAAGGGATGAATGCAATATTAAGCCTCAGGAGCTTTTACCTCAAAGGAATATGTATAACGTCTTCAAACTGTTCAACACAATAATAGTAATTCCATAGATAGCACTGTATAGTGTATTTGGGATAAGAAAACTGTTAAACAAGTAAATGAAAGACCCAACAGGACTGAAGAACTTGGCATGAGCATGAACCAGAACAACAAAACACACATGTAGCCTTAACATAACTAAACATTTTTTAGACGAAGTAAACAAGACAAAGAAATAAATAAAAACACATTGGAAATAAATAACTATAGTAATAACTTCAGGTAACACCTTAAAACTGCCCGCCCCATCATATAGGACTTTGGCTAGTGCACAGAGGGCAAAGCGAAACTTATAGAATACCAGACATTTAAATGATTTCTATTTGACAGGAAAATGCATATTGCTCTATTTGAAGGTTATTCTGCAAACAATGAAGATTTCCCACGTAGTTCTCTTTCTAGCAAGTCTCGTTCAACAATCTGATGTCATTCAGCCATGGGCGGCTCCACACGGTGAATGTGCACAGGTAAGGCTGAGGAAGAAACGTTTACACACATTATATATACACACACACACACCATGAATAAAACATATAGCGTTTAGTCTTTGAGATTATCATAGTCAAAGATCAACATTTAGTTTTTCAGGAGCAGATTCATTTAATTTATCAAATATTTTCGTCTTTCGATGGTGTAGTAGGCTAATGTTCAAATTACAGTCGGCCTATATGTTAAAGTTAGTCATAAGGTTAAATATGACGCTACTAATTCCGACTTCTCTCTGTGGTAACAGCAACAAACATAGCTGGATGGTTCAAAGAGGGGAAGTATAGAATCGTTTCACAATCGGATAGTGTGGTCTACTGTTGAAGGGAGAAGTATACTGTATGACATTTAAAAATTGTGTCTAATAACTCCCAAAAGCAAAAATGGGGGGGGGGATTTTCATCCAGAGGCTGAGGTTGTAGCTTAAAAGTCATTACCTGAGCCTGTGCTGGGTCTTCGTGGATGGCACACACATCATTTGCACCGTCTTTCCTGCAGGGGGTCTTTGCCATTCTCACCGTTATTACGTACTTCAAACCAGCCACCACCTGTAAGGTGAAGTGGGTGGGTGATGGAAATACAGATTCCGGTAAACCTTAATGCTAAAGCAGTTTAGCGTACAGCAGATTTCAGGTCTACCAGCCATTACATTTCAGACAAGTTAAAATGAACTCATGCCCCAAAAGACATTTCAATATTAGCTTATCATGTCAAATACCAATGAAGTTCATGCAAATGATATGGTGCAGCCACATGTATTCCCCTCTTTGGAGTTTCAAGAAGAGCACACAACTACTGTAAATTATTTTGAATTACCTGCAGTATTTTTTTTAAAAATAAATGTGTACAAAACCCACTGGTTTCCAGTTCTTTTATGTATTTTATAAAGCCTGTGCGGACCTGAAGCTGCCTCGAATTGTTGTAGGTCGCTACAACAAACTTCCCAATTGACAGGGCAGGATAGGACTTATTTGGATTATGGTGTTTGTAGGCTATTCAGTGGGACAGACATGTTAGGCTCGTTCCAGGAGATGAGTTGTGCCTCTCCTGGAAAGTGGAGAGCAGGCGGTAGCAGCCGGGGGCTTTGACAAAAAACTGCTGTCAAATCAGACAGTTTTCAGCTGCCTTCAAGGAATAAACAGGAAGTGACAGAAACAGTTACTTCCAGTTAGATCCGACCTGAAGGCTTGTAAATTACAGACCTTGTTCGGATTTATTCACGTGTGTTTGTAAATATATATTTATGTGGAAAGTGGCTTGTATCTGCATTGTATTCTATCCTTTGTTCTTTTTATGTCTGCCTGTGAAACAGTTTGCTTTTTGTTTTAATATGCGTTGTATAAATGAGCTTTATTATTATCCACCACACAACATATGTTCTTAGATTAAACCATTGCACAAGATGAGACTAATAGCCATCAATTGAGCATTCAATATTACAATTACACAAAAAAAAATAAAAAAAAAAATAGGATTTTCTACAAAACGTGGTGTTTGTTGTCAAATCTAAGAGCCATCAGCTCTTTGATCAGCCAACAGCCAGGCGTTTACCATCATGCCCTGGGTCATGCAGTCGGTGGAGTGCAAGGCCCAATCGCAATCTCCACACTCACGGAATTACGGATTTTGAGGCGCACTCCGGCAAAGTCCGTGAGGGTTTAGCACTGTCTCACTGTCTAAATCGTTGAGTGTTTGAGGGCTCTCTCACAGACATTTTAACCCCTTGATGAACACTTTCCATAAGACACCATTAGATGGAGACTTTGCACAAGGGAATTACCCACAATTCATTGCAATGTGACGTTAAACACCGGGTAACCAGTTGAAGCATGGAGATGTAAAAAAAGGTAAACAAAGAGGACGGCACATGTGTGTTCAGCCTATCATATTAAATGTACACAAACATTACGGATTAAAGATGGAACATAAAAAACCCCACATGAAATAAGGATATTTATTTATTCATCAAATATTTCATTTTGTCATTGAAGCTGTTTTGACAAAAACGAGTAAATGGATTATTTTAAATTACCTCCCATCTTGTGAGGAAAGAGCCTGGAAGACGTTCAAATCAGGGAGTAAATAGTATAAAAATAAATACCCACAATTGTACAACATGTTGCAGCAAAGTCCTGTCCCGTTCATATTTAAGGCCTCACATGAGCGTCGAAAATCTTTGTTTACCTTTTTCTTTACGTCTCCATGCGTCCACTGGTTACCCCCTGTTTAGCGTCACATTGCAATGATTTGTGGGTAATTCCCTTGTGCAAAGTCAGCATCTAATGCTGATTTACGGAAAGGGTTCATAAAGGGCTCAAAATGTCTGCCAGAGAGCGCTCAAGCGCTCGATGATTTGACAGTGGGACAGCCCTAAACCCTCACGGACTTTGCGGGAGCGCGCCTCAAAATCCGTGAGTCCGTAAAGGTGGAGGTTGAGATTGGGCCGAATAGTATTGGGGGGCGAAGTCCCTCCCCTTCCGGTGCCCCCATGAGATTTTGGAAAACATATGTACGATAGTCAACGGCATGAGACAAATATGATTTTTTTTATTCCATTTGAATTATGCCATGAATTGCACATATGTTTGTCAATCTAAAAGATAATTTTGCACATCAACAAAGACTCAGTTTGTCGGAGTAACATTTAGTTTTGTGTGAAACTGCTCAGTGAACTACTCTCGTCTTGCACAGCTACAGTATATAGGTGACTTTATGTTCCACGCAAACATTTAACGTTATCATACCTGATGTATTTCATACAGTGATTATTTTTAATAAATAACGAAGTTAAATAACGAGCGAGACCCGTTTGTATTAGAGACAGCTGACGTCACACTTTGAGTTTGTAGTCTTTCTAATTATGTATTTTCACACTCTTATACGTCAACAGTAATTCAACTTGCAAAATTATCTTTTAAATTGACAAACGTCATATGTGTAATTCATGCCCAATTTAAACGGGATTAAAACATTTGTCTCTCTCGTTGATTACCGTATATATAGTATTTAAAATGGACACTTTTTGGTATCACACTGCGGCCTACACGTAGACTAAACTGGACGTTCTTGCTATCACAAAGCATGTGAAATAAAGTTTGTAGAGCTTCCCAGATCCAAATGAAACGTTACTAACCTGACTCTGAGCCTTGACCACTTCTGCCACTTGGCTGAGGTACATATCGTTGCTGCCTCTGTTGTGTTGGACGACAGCAAAGTTGAGGGCATTACGCGCGCCTTCGTCATTCGGATCTAAATCTCGAAAACCCCCTACCATCGAGGCTCCTGACCCGACGGTGAAAACCGCTACCAGAACAGGGAGGACAATCTTCCACAACATGTTTGTGTCACTACGCTCTCAACGCTAATAATAAAACAACAACGGCTCGACGTCGCCTCCCTGTTATATAAAGAACGACGTCACGGCTGTTGCAGTGGCACATCTCGCGGCCAATCACACCATTGTGTTCGCGCTCCTCACAGACACTTCAGGACTTCGGTTCAGCAGGAAGTTGGCGGTGTATTTGTTTTGCACACCGCTGAATCCCGTCGTAGCCGCTCTGATTTGTAGACTTTCCAATATTTTCGGAAGGTACACCTGAAAAGGAGACAAACAAGGTATGTTGAAACGCATGTGGTCGAATTTGAACGTGCTTGTAACTTTAGAAGCGCGGTGCAGATAATGAATTTTTTTTTTACCTCTGTCCTTGTGTAGGTCTAAAAAAACCCACCTGTGCGCGCTCACCTTTTGGAATTGCACAATGCAGAGACTGCATCTTTTGAAGTAAGTAGGTTTTACGACTCAGATTTGAAATATACATATTTTAAACTATCTCAAGGCCGTAGGGATCTCCAATGAATATTTCTCATATTTTCACAAATTTTTCAGGGGAGCTTTCTGTGGCTTGAATGCCTTCCAACAGCAGCTCCTGATTGGCTCAGCTGTGGCAGCAGGGGGTATACTTTTGCACATGGTGCTAAAGAGAAGACAAGTCAAAAGTATTCCTCTTGGTGAAGGCTGGTGGGGAGCAGGAAACAAGCCACTGTCAGAGGATGATAAAATCTATCCCTTCAAAGTGCAAACCTCAGATGAAGAGATTGCGGTACTTTTGAGCTGTTCATTTAAAGTGTTTCAACACCAGTTGTCAAATTTGAAATACCAATAATGAGACATTAACATGTTTGTGTGGTCTTATTCAACAGGACCTTCATGAGCGCATTGACAGAACCCGCTACACCGATCCTTTAGAAGACAGCTGCTTCCAGTATGGCTTCAATTCCACGTATCTCAAGACAGTGGTTTCCTATTGGAGACACACGTTTGACTGGAAAAAGCAGGTGGAAGTACTTAACCAGTATCCACACTTCAAAACTAAAATAGAAGGTACACACAGCCTGAGCTGAAGCTACAGGGTTTGCTTTAGAGTAATTATTTGGCCAAAAATCTGTCCACACGCTACTTTCTTTTCTCTTCACACCAATGCTTTTGCATCACTGCAGGATTGGATGTGCACTATGTCCACGTGCGACCACCACACCGTGAGAATCAGAAGGTTGTGCCTCTGATGCTGGTTCACGGCTGGCCTGGCTCCT